TAAGTAAAAAAAAAAAAAAGAAGAAGCAAGGCTAAATTGGTATTTGGACTAAAATAAGAAACATAAAACGACGGAGTTTTAGTACAGTGAATCGAGTTTTTCTTCATAATGTTGCAGCGCAGCCTTGACTCTCTTCTTCTCAAAAGGCTCCCTAAAACCCTGAAATGGGTTCCTTATTCAGAGCTTCAAAAACCCTTAAAACCCGAAAGTACTTATCTTCGTTATCTTTAATCAACAACCCATTCGATGCTTTTGGATTATGTCAAAGATACTGCTCCCATTCTCTTCAAAACAGCAATGAATCTGCTCCGATAGATTTGAGTCGATACCCCGTTGAAAAAATAAGAAACTTTTCAATTATTGCCCATGTTGATCATGGAAAGTCTACTTTAGCTGATAGGCTTTTGGAGCTTACTGGGACAATTAAGAGAGGCCATGGTCAGCCTCAGTACCTTGACAAGTTGCAGGTAATGTTCCTTGTAAATTCGTGGATTTTTTGTTTGGATTAAAGCCTGCATTGGTAATGTATCTTACGAATTGATGAAAAAGCAAGGTATTGACATTGCAGTAGTTGGTTTAAAGAGAAACTAGAATTGGGTATTTGTTATGTTTTCCTGTAAACGTTAAATTTGGTTTAAAACGAGAGAAAACATTTATTGATGTTGAGTTTAGATTTGGTTAAAAAGTGCATACATCATGATGTTTTTGATGTTATTAGGTAGAGAGGGAGAGGGGAATAACTGTTAAAGCTCAAACAGCGACTATGTTCCACAAACACAAGTCCCATGGATGCGATGAGCCTTCCACATTTTTGCTAAATCTGATCGACACACCGGGTCATGTAGACTTCAGTTATGAGGTGTCTAGATCTCTGGCAGCTTGCCAAGGTGCTCTTTTGGTTGTTGATGCTGCCCAAGGTGTTCAAGCGCAAACTGTTGCAAACTTTTATCTTGCTTTTGAATCTAACTTAACTATAATACCTGTCATAAACAAGATTGACCAGCCAACTGCCGACCCTGATCGTGTCAAAGCTCAGTTGAAATCGATGTTTGATCTTGAGCCTAGCGATGCCCTTTTAACGTCTGCTAAGACAGGGCAGGGACTCGAGCATGTCCTTCCAGCAGTCATAGAGAGGATTCCTCACCCTCCTGGAAGCAGCGGTTCACCTTTGCGTATGCTTCTGTTGGATTCCTATTACGATGAGTATAAAGGTGTAATTTGCCATGTTGCCATTGTTGATGGTGCATTGTGTAAAGGTGATAAGATTTCATCTGCAGCGACCGGTCAAGCTTATGAAATTTTGGATGTTGGGATCATGCATCCTGAGCTTACTCCCACTGGAGTTATTCTAAGTGGACAAGTTGGATATGTGGTGACTGGCATGCGTTCCACAAAAGAGGCACGTATTGGGGATACACTATATCACACTCGGACTACTGTAGAACCCCTTCCTGGTATACATGAGGCTTTATTTAATCTTTTTAGGATCTTTTTACACCCTTCTTTTATTTGCTATGCTTCTAAATTGCAGGTTTCAAACCCGCAAAACATATGGTGTTTTCTGGTCTCTACCCTGCAGATGGATCTGACTTCGAGGCACTCAACCATGCTATAGAGAGGTTAACATGCAATGATGCCAGTGTCTCTATTACTAAGGAGAGTAGCACTGCACTTGGACTAGGTTTTAGGTGTGTTTTCTTATGTTTTATGACTTAATCTCAAAGTACCAATAGTGTAGTAGTTTTCTTCTTTTTTATTATGGGCACTTGCGTTGTTATAATGGGATAATCTGATCTCTAGTGTGTCCTGTATTCCTTCTGCAGGTGTGGATTCTTGGGTTTGCTTCACATGGATGTTTTTCATCAAAGACTTGAACAGGTGATTGATTTTTCCATTTTTTCCATTTTGTCCATTTACCCAATTTTCTTTCTTTTTTTACAAGTCATAACAGTTTTTATCACGGATGTAGGAGCATGGAGCTCATGTCATTTCCACTGTTCCAACTGTTCCATATATTTTTGAGTATTCTGATGGAAGGTACATGTAACAATGATCTTTTATGATCACTCTTTATTTGGAGAAATGTAAGCTTTGCAAAGTTTCTTTTGACATGTTTTATATATCTTGATCTTATGTAGTAAAGTAGTTCAGAATCCTGCTGCATTGCCCTCAAATCCCAAGAAACGAGTTACAGCTTGTTGGGAACCTACTGTAATAGCAACTATTATTATTCCTAGTGAGTAAGCTCCCATAACCCTTTGCTATCTATTTTCTACAGCATTCAAAGGTTTCATTCTTTAGAACTTTTTGCTTACTTGTAGGTATGTGGGGCCTGTAATTACCGTCTGCTCAGAGCGGAGAGGCCAGCAGCTGGAGTACTCATTTATAGACAGGTGATTTATACCATTATGGTCTCTTTAACCTGTAATTTTTGACTCATCAATGGTAATATTCAGTGAAATAGTTTCTATATCTCTTGTCCTGATGTAGAACAATCTGTTGCCTTGTCTCGTAGTTGAGTAAAAGAAATACTAAAGTATCTGATGTGTAAATTTAGGTTCTTTTTAGCAGTAGATGTGCTTTCAACCAATGAAACCTTCATTTGTTTTTGTTCTCTATCTTCCATCAATTTAGCAAGTTAGATTAATTCATATATTGTTACTCTGACATCCACTTGGACCTTTTTGCTTATTAGAAAAATTGTATTTTTTATATACAAAAAATAACTGTTTTAATGTTTTTGTACTTATGCCCAGTCATTCTTTTTATGCAGCCAACGGGTTTTTATGAAGTATCGGCTACCTTTGAGGGAAATTGTTGTTGACTTTTACAATGAGCTGAAGAGTATAACATCTGGATGTGCTTCCTTCGATTATGAGGATTCAGAGTAGGCTTCTCTCTCTCTCTTACTCACTCACATACACGAGTACACTCATGCATGAGGACAGGGCCCAACATCATAGGGGCTGGTGCTGTAAAAGGCTGCAATATGCTGTTTAATGTTCTATAATAATGAATTGGGGAGCAAGTGGTGAAACAAATTAAGACAACTGGTTTCAGTTAGATAAATTTCCTCATTCCCTGGGATTGCTACCAATGAATAATGCTACTTGATCTGCCCTAATTTTCTGTGACATACAACGTCGAAGGACATTTGATGTCATGAAACCTTCACTGAAGTTGTTTTCCTTTGCATCCAAAAATTGGAGCCTCTTATTCCTATTATTGACACGTTATTGGTTTTGTTTACAGATACCAACAATCTGATTTGGTGAAACTTGATATCCTCTTAAATGGACAGCCAGTTGATTCCATGGCTACAATCGTTCACAATTTGAAGGCACAACGAGTTGGTCGTGAACTGGTGGACAAGCTTAAGAAATTCATCGACAGGTCTGTTGGTTTAAAGTCAATATGAGCTTTGTATGAATTAAATTATAGTTAATACAGATGGTCCAATTCTAATCAGGCAAATGTTTGAGATAACCATACAAGCTGCAATTGGATCAAAGGTTATTGCAAGGGAGACGTAAGTAATGTGTCTTTTATTCCTCAAGGTTACTTAAAAGTTAACTACCCGTTTAGTATTCATTGGTTAGCTAAGCCTTTATATTCTGGATTCAGAATCTCGGCAATGAGAAAGAATGTCCTTGCAAAGTGTTATGGTGGGGATATTACACGGAAGAGGAAGCTTCTAGAGAAGCAAAAGGAAGGAAAGAAGCGAATGAAGCGAGTTGGTTACATTGACATACCTCAAGAAGCTTTTCATCAACTGCTGAAGGTTTCATAGTGTAGGACTACATCAGCGATGATGGTGGTAAGTTCCAAATTCCAATGTGTGTTTAGTTAATGGTTAAGTTCAGTCCAAACTTTTTCGTGCATGTATTCTCTTGTGCCAATGGCAGCAAAGCTCTTTCTTTCTGCACTTTTCAGAGTCTACTACAATAAATGATTTGTCATACATATTGATCAAAGTGAATTTTCCTTTCAATCTCGTGTCTAGACAACCGATATGGGATTCATGGCTCAGAATTTGTTGCGCATGCATGTATAACTGAAGATGACGATAGTTGAGGGGTTTTAAAGGAATATCAACAAGCTTCTGCGACTGTTGGGGCTAGTTTAAAGAGAGGGTTGGTTGAGAAGACGGGTTTTTTAATTAAAATATTTTTTTTATTTTAAATGTAAATTGTTAATTATTTAAAAACATGTCACATATCGTACATTTATTGTTCCAATAATTTTTTAACAAACGTAATAAATCGACTTTAAAATGCTGATAAAATGAAATATTGGAAATCTATTTCAACTTAAATTTTTTCTAAGCATATGTATGAATCAAACTATATAAGTTATTAGAAGAATGATTGTTACTCTTAGAAGTTTTAGTTTCGAGCACCTGAGATTAGAAGAGTGTTTAATATTTCATTGTCAAATGATTGTTATCTTTAATCTTCTTAAATTAATAAAAAATTTAAGCACTTAAAACAAAATCAAATAGTTTGAACTTTTTTATTTATTTTATTAATTTAGGGTGCTTACAAGTAGTATTTGTTCTAAAGACTTTTAATTATTTGGTAATGAATTCTCAAATACTAAGAGTTTTTCGGCGACCGAATTTGACAATTTGTTAATACCCTCTTGTAAAGAGCGACAAAAAATTTCATTAACTATTGTTGACATTTTTATTTTATTAATAGAGTGACATTTTTTTTGTAACGCGTTGTGTATTAAATATGAGTGAAAATCGCACAAATCAAATGACTTCAATGATTGAAGATTTTTTGTTATCTTTGATATTATAGATTTAAACATCGTGTATGTCAGGAATATGAGCGTTTTTAACAACCTTGTATTCTTCAGATTTATTTAAAAACTTAGCAGCGAACATCTATGATCAATAGATTAAACTTTGAGCGGATTAAATAGGAGTAAATGTCTATTATCAATAGACTAAACGTTGAGTTTAAAAGATAGATACATGCATACATGCCCATCCATTATTTTTTTGGTTCTTTATTATCCGAACCAAGTGCAGAGGCACTATTGAAAACCGAAAAGGACAAGGAAGATGATTGAGGCGAACTTCCTATACGAGAGCTTGAAGATGCTAGTCCTTTAAAGTAGCCAGATTCACATAATGATGGATCCTTCAAACTTTGTGAAACGGTCGCCTGCATCGGATTGTGACCAAAACTCTCGGCCCTTTGATCCACCATTGAAATGGCAGCAGATATTATTGATCTGAAGCTGGGGTCCGATGTGATTGCCTTTGTTAACGTCTGGTAAAACTGGTCTTGTTGGGAAGAAAAGTTGAGATTCGTCCACGGAAATCTGGATGTTGTAGGGAAGTTGGTGAGGAACGACGACGGAGAGCCGACGAGGTCTAGAGTGATCGTCGGGAACGAAGGTGATCTCGAGTTATCATGTATGCTGCTGAAACTGAGTCCATTGAGTTCAGTTGAGAGTGGTTGAGATGCTGAAGAGCCCGATAACAGCATGGAAGCGGCCGCCGAAGTGGTGGAAGCCATGGCGGTGGCTGATTCCGAAATCGGGTGGTTGTGGTTCCCTTCATAAGTTGTGATTAAGATGGACATATCGTCGACACTTCTTTGCACCTGTTTTCTTACAGGACACCCTGGTGCAACTGTGCAACGATAGAAAGCTCTGGGACATGGATTTCCTTTCGATATTTTCTGTCCATATTTCCTCCATTGACACCCATCATACATCTATAAGGATTCAAATGAAATAAAATTCCGCCGTAACCAAAAGCTTGAAAGCTTAATTTATATCCGTCATAATAACAAAATTATTCCCCATGACAAATAATTATTTTATCTTTTATTTTCTTTTTTCTTTTATTGAGTGTTTTCTCCTCTAACATCTCAATTTTAATTAAAACAAATCTTGTTAAATGAAAGTCATTAATTAACTAACGATCAACACATATTACTAACGTTATATTTTTATATGTATTCAATTAATGATATGATATATGTCACATCATATGACATATGTCACATTATCAAATTTGATGACATAACATATGTCATAACACCTAAAATGATGATTTGACATGACATATAATCAATTAAACATGTGTGAAAAAGTCATGTGTTGACCGCTAGTTAACTAATGATTTTCATCTAACAAGATATGTTTTAACTAAAATTAAAAATATTAGAGTTAAAATGTTAAAAAAAAACAAAAAGGACTATTTATGCAACTATTAGGGATAATTGTATCATTATGCCTTTTTACTAACCGTCAGTGGGCAAAATCTCGTTGATAGTGCGTTGAAATTTTTTTTTTCGTGAAATAGTGGGATCGCCAGATTAATTGCTAAAGTAGTGTCCTCTACAGTACCGGGGGTAGGTCGCCATGCACGCCCGGCGACCTACCAGGTCGCCATGCACGCCCAGCGACCTGGTAGGTCGCCATGCATGCCCTGCGACCTACCAGCCAACGACCTCCATGCCCATGCACGCCCATGCACGCCCATATCGCCAAAGGTCACCATGCAATGCACGTCCAGCTCGCCAAAGGTCACCATGCAGTCCATGCTTGGACTGAACAATGTTGGTGGTTTAGGGTTGGCCCTGGGCGAGGTTGGAGTCTCTGCAGGGCAACGTGGCATGCGTCTGGACGACCTATGACTTTGCCCCACTTTGCTGCCTCTGCGTCTCTGGTCCCATGCAGCGTGAAATCAGCTGCATTATTGCAGCAACATGGGTGTGAAATCAACTGCATTATTGCAGCACTTATTGCTGCATTATTGCAGCCCGTGAACGTGAATCGGCCACCTATAATTGAAGCAATACCGGTTGTTGTATTATATATTGGATGGATGGCAATTAAGAGAGAAAGAAAGGGAGAAAATAGCAAAGGAGAAGATAGCAGAGAAAAGAGGAGGAAGAAGAAAGGGAGAGCACAACATCGAGGTAAGTTTTTTTTTTAATTATTTTAATAAGTTTATTATTTTAAATTATTAGTTTGTTAGTTTATGGTTTAAGTTAAAACAAAATTTTAGTTAATTATTTAATTTGTTTATTTGATGGTTATATATTAAAAAAATAATTAATTAGTGTGTTAGTTAGTCTAATATTTAATTAGTTTGTAGTTAGTTAAATAGTTAAGTTATATTTTGGTTGTTGAATTTATATTATATAAAAAATTAGTTTATTAGTAGTTTAAGTTTTATTATAATAAAAAATAGTTTATTAGTTTAAGTTATATAAAAGAATAATTATTTAAATTAGTTTATTGTTATAAATTATTAGTTAATTAGTTTATTATTATAAATTAGGGTAAAACAAAAAATTAGTTAATTAGTTTGTTAGTTTAAGTTATATTATTGTTAGTTTAAGTTATATCATATAGAAATAAAAAATTATGTAATTAGCATGTTTGATAGTTACATATTAATAAAAATATTTAGTTAGTTTGTTAGTCGTTAGTTATATATAAAAATATGTAATTAGTTTGTGTTAGTTAAATAGTTAAGTTATATTTGTTTGTTGAATTTATATTATATAAAAAAATGAGTTAATTAGTTTTTAGTAGTAAATTATAATTAAAAATCATTTATTAGTTTAATTTATATTAAAGAATAGTTTATTAGTTGTTTAAGGGAAAATTTACGTTTAATTTATATTTTAAAAGTTTAGTTTGTTAGTTTATTAGTTTAATATTATAAGTTATTATATTAAATTTTTTTGTTGTGTTGTAAAATAGTTAGTTAGTTAGATTATATTAGTTACATTAAATGAATTTTTAAATATTGTTGTTTACTTTTGTACAGATTCATTCCAATGGCTGACCAAATTCCACTGTTGAGACTTGAAAATGAACATATTTCAAGTCATTTGGGAATAATGGTGAATAAAATATTTGTTTAATGAATTATAATTAATAAATATTTGAATATTATTTTGTGATTGTGATAAATCTTTTGAAATATTTAATTGCAGGAGGACGAGCAACGAGTCCTTCGTCATCGGCTACATAAAGTGCCCAAGCCACATAGATTGATAGAAGAAAACTTGCAGGAGGCTGGATTTTGGTATGTAACATTTGTGCGAGATTACAAGTTGGTCCCAGGTTTGATCAGTGCCTTGATTGAGCGTTGGAGACCAGAAACGCACACGTTTCATTTGCCGTGTGGCGAATGTACCATAACTCTGGAGGATGTGGCATTACAGCTCGGGGTCCAAACAAATGGGATGCCAGTGGTAACGTCACATGAGTTTAATAATGTGGCACAACTTTGTAGCTTGTTTCTTGGGAAAACGCCCGTACCACCAGAGTGTAAAGGGTGGCGTGTGAGGTTGTCATGGTTGAAGAATGAATTTCAGCTTCAACCAAATAGTACGGAGCACGAAATTATATATGCAACACGAGCATATATATTACAGTTGATTGGGGGTATTTTAATGCCGGATAAATCCGGTAGTTATGTTCACACTCAATATCTTCTTTTTTAAGAAATTTTGAGAATAGTAGGCAATATAGCTGGGGATCGGCGATATTGGCGTTCTTGTATCGTGAGATGTGCAAGGCGTCATTAGTCGTGAATGATAATAATACAGCAGAAATCGGTGGATGTCTGTTGCTGCTACAGTCATGGGCTTGGCATAGACTTCCGTTTTTGACACCGATTAGTCGGACTGCGGTTGACTTTCCGCTTGCCGGAAGGTAATATGAATTCTCTATTTTAATATAAAATATTAATTATAAAATAAAAATGACCATATTTTTATATTGATTGATATACAGATGGAGGCATAAAATTGAAGGCACGAGGTTGGTGCACAACAACATTAAAGAGTTCAGGCTGAAGATCGACATTAAGGCAAAAAAGGAGGTATGTATAATCTGTTATTTTTAATTATTATTTAAATTAACTATATTATTTGATTTAAATAAATTTTATTGTTTTTGTAATTTTACAGTTTAATTGGAGACCATACATGAATGGAGAAATACTTGTGTTAATACCGCACGATATTTTAGATGGGTGTCAATATTGGTGTGCTGTTACACCATTGATCAATTTTGCGTTTGTTGAGATCCAATTTGGGGATAGAGTGTTGAGGCAATTCCACTTCCACCAACCTATTCCGCGGAGTCCATGGGATCATGACCTCCTCCAAATCTTAGATGGTCGTCGTCAGGTGAATTGGGTTGAGACGCATGACCAGCTGCACAGATTTGATGGTCGTCGTAAAGAAAATGTTAATTGGGTTGAGAATCATGCAATCTACATTAATGCTTGGAACAATAGGGCTTTATTCATGCCAATTCTTGACGACATTCAAGACGACGACTTTAATTTTGAGACTTCGGCTTACCTTGCTTATTTTTTGGATAATGGAAAGCCATTCTTGACAACAATTGTAGAGAGGCAACAATTTTTGAGGTTTAAGAAAAGATTTGGTAAAGCTGAATACTCTATACCAAGTGGGAGTGGGGGTTCATCTCAACAACCTGAAGCGGAAATGACCGATGTGGATAATAGCGCACCACAACCGTTCGGCGATGCATACATACCAGAGTTTGTGCAGCCTGATGCATCCATCTACTCTCCCATGTTTTCGTCGACGTATGACTTTGAACACATGTCAGTTCAAATGCCCCCAACGAATGAGGAGGATGGGTACCATACTCCTGAGCAACCGCAACGGCCACAACGCATCAGACGTCCGCCCCAACATTATCATTCAACAACACCCCGACATCGGCAACAATTGTAAACTAGTTTGTTATTTGTTACAAATTTAATATTGACATTAGACTAGTTTTTTCAAACATTAACAAATTCTACATATTTATAATGATTTTTAGTATCAAATCATTATTATAATTTCATTACTAGTTATGTAACGAAAATATGGTTAATTGAACCAAACATTGTTCATTGTTCAAGTCGTAAATCATTACTATCAAATCATTACAAAATCATTAATATCAAATCATTAAATATTAATAATAAATTATTACTAATCATTACTAAATCATTACGATCAAATCATTAAAAATTAATAATAATTTCATTATTACTAATCATTACTAAGTCATTACTATCAAATCATACATAATTAATAATAATTTCATTATTACTAATCATTACTAAATCATTACTATCAAATCATTAAAAATTAATAATAATTTCATTATTACTAATCATTACTAAATCATTACTATCAAATCATACATAATTAATAATAATTTCATTATTACTAATCATTACTATCAAATTACTATTAAATCATTAAATATTAATAATAATTTCATCATTACTAATCATTACTAAATCTTATAAATACATAGAAATTCATAGAAATACATATATCATTACTAATGATGAGGCCTATATCTTGGTAAATTAGGACAATTGTTTTTTGAATGGCCTTCACCCCTACATAATCCGCATCTCTTTGTTTGACCTCTCTCTCTAGCATGGAAATCCATACTGGTATGAATACGAGTGGACTCAGGTCGACCCTTTGGACTTCTGCGAAGCATTGGATTTGGCAGCCATTCGTCATGATCTTTTCTGAGCCAATATGATTCATTTGGTATCTGTCTGAACTCATAGCTGTAGACATTTAATATCCTACGTAAGTGAAAACACTCATCAACATAAGTGTATGCGCTTACACCAGCATACATACATGCTGCGACTGCATGAGCACATGGATATTTCCATGCCTGAAAACGACCACAATCACACCATTTATGTCGTAAATCAACTCTAAATGTTTGGTCTTCTCCTCCGACGTTACGGCGTATGCACGACACGACAAAAGTATGACCAACTCGGTCGAAATTATGAACAACCATTGATGTTGCCAATCGCTCATTTGCTTCCATTGATTCCACCACTGTAGGAGCCCAAGTTTTACCTCTATTTATAAGACTCTCTATTTCTTTGCCTTTGTCCGACCAAACTTTACCCAATCTAAAGTATGTCTCTTTCATCACACTCGCAATTGGGAGATGGCGTGTACCTTTTAGTATCGAATTAATGGCCTCAGCAAGGTTTGTGGTCATATGTCCGTATCTCCGACCTTCGTCATATGCTTGTGACCATTTTTCCCGCGGTATTTTTGAAGCCCACTTCCAAACACGCTGATCATCGTAAAATACCTTCAAATTCTCCAATCTCTTATCAAAATTTGGTCGACGTAGTTCGTATCCTGTTTCATAATATATTGTGTTAAACCGCAATTAAAAAAACCATGTAAAAAATGCACAAATATTGAAAATAAAACTTACCCATGCTGACTATCTCGCTACGAATGTGTGCGTTATGAAATTGGTCGATACTATTCTTGCCAATATGACGGATACAATATGTCGGATATGCATACGGAGGTATCCAACGACTTCCTGGTCGTTCAATTGCCGCCAAAATACCCGTTCCTCTATCGGATATCAAGCAAACTCCATCTTCACGAACGACATATTGACGTAGATTGGTCAGAAAGAAATCCCAAGCCTCTGTTGTCTCTCCCTCAACAATGGCGAATGCAATTGGGAAGATATTTCGCTCACCATCTTGAGCAACTGCCATCAAAAGTACATGCCTATATTGACCATACAGCCACGTACCATCTACTTGGATCATACGTTTACAAAATGGAAATCCTTCAATACATGCCTTGAATGCCCAAAATAGTCTATGAAATATTTTCTTCCCTGGCAGAAGTTGACCTTCTTCGTCATATGCGGGCATGGTTTGAGACTTCACTATGGTTCCTGGGATAAATCGCTTCATTGCTTGTAGCAAATGTGGTAGCTCATTGTACGATGTATCCCAATCTCCATACGTCAGCTTCATTGCCTTCATCTTCGCATTCCACACCTTGCCATATTTTACTTGATATCCAAATTGGCTTCGAATAGATGCAGCTAACACTGAACAAGATATCCTTGGATCCTTTTCAACCATCGCCTTCACGTATTCACATATTACATCGGAGTCCAATAGTCGGTGGTCTTGTTCGATGAAGTTTCGCAAACACGTGTGCGGACCATTGTACCTCGTGATGACCCAAACATCGTGCCTTTGATTTTTCGACACTCTGATCTTCCACTTGCACTCTAGGCCATTTTACACACTTCGCGTATAGGGTTTTCTGGTTGGACTCTGCAACATGGATATCAACATGGCATTTTATGCAGTACTCTTTAATCGCTAGGGTAGCTTCATTTTTTCCTCTGAATTGCACCCCAACTGAAAATTCACCAGAATTATCGAATGATGCAGTCATTTGGTATGGAGGTAAATGTGGCATGTCTGGGAATTCAGGTGCCCTCATCGCATCATAGTCTATCTCGTACATGTGAGGAGTAGCTTCATACGGTGCCGGAACTTCATCAATTGCACCTCCACCAAAAATATTTTCGTCGCCGCCCAAAACGGGTTCTTCGGTTTCTTCATCTTCGCTTGAATCATCATGAATTTCTCCCCATCGATTTTCAGCGTCAATATCAACAACCAATTCCGGTATGTTTCTCGTCTCACACTCTTCTGTTGCAGATGTCCCCCCGACTTCATTTACACTTTCCAATAGTGCCATAAAACTGTTTGGGAACCTGTATGTCGGCTCCTCAAACTGACTATATAAAGTCATTTCAGATGGATTTTGAGCCACACCTCTTGATGACCCAGGAACATCACATATGTTATGCACATCAACAAATAACTCAATAACTGCTATATTGGTTAACTCATGTAATCGAACCATGGTTCCAATATCATCATCTTCTTCAAGTGGAACTGCAGCATATTTGACTGGGTTGGGGCATATCATAAACCTATACCTCAAACCATCAACTGCAACTCAAATTTTTCTTTCTATCTTATGCTTCATTTCTATAAATGTGATGTCTTTTTTGAACATCATATTTATTGGTTTTTCAGACTGAAAAACTACTCCGATCTCATTTTCCATAATCTGTCCATTATAATGGACAATCGTGAAAAAGTTGTTGCTCATTTCCTTTCCTTTCCTTTCCTTTATTGTTTCTTTCTTCGAATCAATATGTACGTGGAAAAATGTTGTGGAATAATGCTCTGTACGTGTAAAAAAATTATTTCTTTAAACAACAATAAATTAAAAAAATTAAATTTATATAATCTAATATATTATAATATAACTTAAACTAATAAACTATTTCTTTATTATAATATAATTTAGTTAAAATAACAAACTAACAAACTAATTAAGCACTAATTAACTTTTTTAATATTTTAACTTAAACTTCAACAAACAACTTAATATACGTTTAAACACACTAACAAATTAATTAAATATTTTTTACATTTAATAACTTAAACTAAGAAACTAATTAACTAATTTTTTATATAATCTAATATATAACTTAAACTAACAAATTAATATAATATAACTTAAACTAACAAACTAATAATTTATACTAACAAACTAATTAACTAAATTTATGTTTTATCCTAAACCCTAAACTAACAAACTAATTATTTCATAATTTCATATTAATAAACTAAATTAAACAATTAAAAATTACCTCACAAACGATATTTGAGCCTTTATCTCCATTTCCTCTTCTTCTTATTTTCCTTTCATTTCCTTTCTCTCGCCAAATTTTCTTTCTTTCTTATGATTCTACCCTAAACCCCTCATATCCAATATATAATGATATTTCAACGGTTGGTAGGTAAGTTGCAATCAATTTGAGCTGTATAATTCACGTTGAAAGCTGTAAATTTTTCAACCGTTGAACGCTGCAATAATACAACACAACTGATTTTATGCTGCACCAATACAGCTATGATAACAAGAGTGAACAGTCTCGAAGCTATGGCATGAGGGACAAGCTATGGCTAGAAGCTAGGGCACGAATCTATGACACTTTGCAGCTCAAATCATGCTGCAATAATACAGCTATTACAGCTGCATGCATGAGTCTCCTGAGCAGATGTAAGAGGAATCACGCGAGGAGCAGGAGGAATAGGTTCTCCTGAGCAGCTGCAAGTGGAGAGGATTGTATGGCTACCTATCCTGCATGGCCCAACGTTGTTCAGTCCAAGCATGGACTGCATGGTGACCTTTGGCGAGCTGGGCGTGCATGGAGGTCGTTGGGCGTGCATGGCCGTGCATGGAGGTCGTTGGACGTGCCTGGGCATGCATGGAGGTCGTTGGGCGTTCATGGGCGTGCATGGAGGTCGTTGGGCGTGCATGGGCGTTGCTGGTAGGTCGCAGGGCATGCATGGCGACCTACCAGGTCGCTGGGCGTGCATGGCGACCTGGTAGGTCGCCGGGCGTGCATGGCGACCTACCCCCGGTACTGTAGAGGACACTACTTTAGCAATTAATCTGGCGATCCCACTATTTCACGAAAAAAAAAATTTCAACGCACTATCAACGAGATTTTGCCCCGTCAGTGCTTCACATTTAGTTCTCACAGAAACCCTAGCTCTCTTTACTTGGCTTTTATGTCCTACTTCCTCTTCATGATGATCCCCACTTGTGTTCTTCTGAACTTTGCTCGCTGGCTGCCATGTTTCTCCTGCATCATCATCTTCTTCCTTTGGCAACTCTGAATTATTTTCAGTAGACAATAGAAATTTAGGGTCTAACTCTAATCCCAGAGTTAGACCGCCATTGATGTTATGATCATCATCATCTGCTTCAGTTTTTCTGTTGGTCGTTGTTGTCGTCCTCTTCTGATCATCTCTTTTCGAACCAGTTGGACTTCTTCCAAGGGAAAGTGAAACGAGTTCTGGTTCTTCTTCTGCACCTTCAATGGCGGATCCTTGTTGAAGCATTTCTAAGAAACGCAGTTGAAGAGATTTGTAATTCTCCTGGATTTGCTTTATCATCGTCTTCAACCTCTCGTTTTCTTCCAATGCTGATTCAAGTCCTTCCTCCTAATTAATCAACACACAGTTATATTACATATTTTGACTTATAAATTCATGTATATATATATATACATACATATACCTTGTTTAAGTAATGTTTTCTACATATACCTGGCTAGATTTTGGACAGAAACCATCTTCATGGCAGGCAGTTTGAGTAATGTATTCTTCTTGTTTAACAGCACCATCTTCCCTTGACATTTTCATCAATAAAACCTCCATTGATGTATGAGAAATGAGGGTTTTCTTATACAGTTTCAAGGCACAGAAATGTACACCCCCAACAACAGTTGAAAGATCAATTTCATTATCATAAAAGAATGAGTAAACTATTTGAGAAGAATTCAACTTCAACGTTTCACAGTTTAGACATAAAATGATTAAGGGTAATATACTCCCCTAGTCAATCAGTTATTAGTTCGATTACAAACGAGCTATATTGTTTCTAAAAGCTATAATTTAGTCACTTAATTAAAATATAATAATAATTTTAGTCTCTAAAATTTATACATTCTATCAATTTGGTCATAACTTAAAACAATTCAATAAATTTAACTCTTGATACTTAATTTTTTTTCAATTTAGTCTTTATTATTCTACTAAATTATTTTTCCTTCTCCCATGAATGTTATAGTATTCCCATGTTTCTTTGTAAAAATAATAATATTTTAACATTAATTTATTGTTTTATGATAAAATGTGGTTATCCAACTGTTGCTTTGATATGATGGATTCACTTGACTTAAGAGTTTCACATAATAAAAAAAAGTTACATTGATATGATTTTAAATATGAAGGGTTAAATTTATTGAATTATTTTGAATTAAGACTAAATTGATATAATGCATAAGTTTTGAAGACTAAAACTATTATTATACCATATCATATTAGACATTTATTTAATTTTAACGACACAGTGACCAATGTGTAATGTTATTTTAATTAACTGGATGAATCATAACGTTTAGAGAAAAAATGATCTTTTCATAATCGAACTAATAATTAAGTGACCCGAGATGTATTTTATCCCAGATTAATGATTGTGAAAAAATTAAGGAAAGAGAGCTAAAATTGCGGCCAATAACCTAATATTATATATGAAGACTAAGATACTGAAAGGACGTCAGATGGGGATAAGAGTGAAAGGAACAGCCATTGATTTGAGCGATAAGTTTCAAGGAATGGTCAGCTTCAGGTTTTCAACGACTTGCAGGCTGCCTATTGGCCCCTTGTTTTCCATTGTCAAGCAGCAGGGCCGGTCAATGTATACGCTTGCTCCACACGGATTCAGACTGCTGTAATTTTAATCTTAATTACAATCATATTTTCAGTTACATTATATTTATCGTGATTATAATTATTAAATATTATCATGATATCGTAATCATATAATAATAATATCAGACAACACTACTTTTAATATACTTTTAATATATAGCGGATGCTATTCAGTTGTAAACTATTATTTAAATTCGAGATCTGTAATGTGATTTCCAGGGATTGAGAATTCAATCTCAGGATGATTGGGGCACGTTCCAAATATTTCAACAGGTTGAATAAGATCACATGATTATGCATGTGTTGACTATATATTGCACACATCCCTACAATGTGGTATAAGTCAAGCCTGCTAACTGTGGTCTTGTGGTACATGTGTCGACTACCCGTATGGATTATTTGTAGTTCTATTTCTTTAATAAAAGCAAAGAAAATTACAAAATATTACTTCAATCAATTATAAACAATAAATCTAAGATGTTATATTGGACCTATGAGCGGTTCAAACATTCATACCTTAAAAATTACGATAAATATATCATAATTTGTCATCAATGATATATGTTCCATAAAATACAAAAAATAAAATAGAGCTCTGACTCAAAATATGTTTAAGAAAAAAATTACCCAAAAGACTTACAAATTCAAAGTTTTTTTTTTATTAATTTAGGATAAATACAAGATAAAATATGTTCAAAGACTCTTAATCATTTAACATTGAAAGTTTACACCTTTGGTTTTTGGCGCTCTTTGTATTTGAGCAAGGGACCTTAAGGAATAATAATAATTCTTTTACCACCAAAGTCGTTTGGTTAATGCACGAAGTCAGAGTTAAAATTAAAATACAAGCAAAGTCTATATGATACGAATGCATGCCTTCTAAAAGATCAGTGTTGTAATATGAATAGACATTGTTGGAGATTTTTTTACCGATGGTGCTCCTTTGGATCAAGCAAAATCTACTAACTAGCGCATGAGAAACAATCGTACATTAAACTTTACAAACTGTTGGAAAATTTGTGATAAATAGGAAACTTTGAGGCATATTTTCTAAGGGTAAAGATTAAAAATCGAATAATGAATTTATTGATTCATATTATACTTCATGAGATATTTACAACGATATCTCATATGCTCAAAACGCTTGAGAGATGAATGAGAAATTGATGTTCAAAGTAAGGTACATGTGAATTGTGTTGTGTAAGGAAAATGAGAAAACTCATATCCCACATTGGTGAGAAAACAAGCAAGGAAATGGTTTATATACACAAATCCAGTTACTAGTTATTGAATTATTAGAGGTGAAATTGTGGCTTGTGTGCAAGGTAAGTGGTAGGTGGGGGTGTAAATTGAAGCTTATTGAATCTATTAGGGTTAAGTAAGTGCACTCATAAAATGTGGGCTACGTAAATGTTTGAAGCAGACTAGTCCTTCAAGGGTCTTTAGATATTTTAATCACACTACGAATTAAATATTTTTCTTAATTGATTATTTATGATTTTATTTGGATACTAATTAATAGCCTTACTTTTCAGAATACATTGTTTCCAATTTTTCTCCTATGTGAAATACTATAAATATCGTGTAAACCTACTAGGTTTTACACAACTCAAAAATCTCTTTGCTTCTTCTTTATTTTTAGCCTATAGCAAGATATAGTTTTTGATCTCGCAAGTTGTGCTACTATGCGCTGATTATATCGTTGATGTATCTTGGGAGACAAATGGCCAAAAGATCTCGAGTACCAATGAGTGGCCGAAAAGTTGTCTTAAGGAAATTGTGTAGCTACGGGTCTCAACTAGTTTCTAGCTTGTTATTCGAGTTCTTTACTCTAAACTATATCTTTTCCTTTATTAATAAAATTTTATTTTACTTTTCTTTTCGTCTCGGATTGTTATATTACAACAATCTTAAGAAAAATTCTTTGAAAACAAATCTGAGACTATTCGGAAAACTTATGTGGGCTACGCAAATATTTGAAGTGGACTAGTCCTTCAAGGGCATATAGATATTTTACTCACACTACAAATTAAATATTTTTCTTAATTGATTATTTCTGATTTTATTCGGATACTAATTAATAGCCTTACTTTTCAGAATATATTGTTTCCAATTTTTCTCCTATGTGAAATAATATAAATATCATGTAAACCTACTAGGTTTTACACAACTCAAAAATCTCTTTGCTTCTTCTTTATTTTTAGCCTCTAGCAAGATATAGTTTTTGATCTCGCAAGTTGTGCTACTATGCACTGATTATATCGTTGTTGTATCTTGGGAGAAAAATGGCCAAAAGATCACGAGTACCAATGAGTGGCCGAAAAGCTGTCTTAAGGAAATTGTGTAGCTACAGGTCTCAACTAGTTTCTAGCTTGTTATTTGGGTTCTTTACTCTAAACTATATCTTTTCCTTTATTAATATTTTTTTTTGCTTTTCTTTTTCTCGGATTGTTATATTCCTTTATTAATATTCGGAAAACTTATGGGTTCAGGATCTATCCTGCCCTTTTAACGAGTTTGCTTAGAGTGGAAAAATTTGTTTTAATAGAAATTCTCAGTATAGTAACATTGGTTACTGATTATGGTTCATTTCTTTTACAGAATAATGGAAGTAACAAATTCCAACGAGTTGCCTAGCTTGGATTCTAGAATGATGATTCTGATTCAGAATCAAAATCTAAATATGAATCAAATGACAGTGGTTGTTAACAACATCAAGAGTCCATCAAAAATTTATGGAGAAGATTCAAGATATGACAACAAAATATGTGGTTCTATCTCACCATGGTGAACTATGCTAAGTTCTTAAAGGGAGAACCTTATGCGTTTAAAGAGGGAGAAAGAGAATGAGAGGTTGATAATATCATCTCCTTCAATATTCTTGATGCTTGGAAGCATTCTGACTTCATATGCTGAAACTATATCTTGAACTGTTTACATGATTCAATGTATATAGTGTATTCCACTTATGAAACGACAAAAAAATCGTGAGAGGCATTGGAGCACAAATATCAAATTGAAGATGATAGAGCTAAAAATATTTTAGTTGCTAAATTCTTGAAGTATGTTATGGTTGATTCCAAACTAGGAGTTTCAACTGATTATTAATAGAATTCTGGATGAAAAGATGGTTATCAGTGAATCATTTTAGGTGGAAGCTATTATTGAAAAGCTACCGCCCAGGTGGAATGACTTCAAGAATTACCCGAAGCATAAGAGGAATGAAATGACCATGAAGAACTTATTGTCAGACTTCACATTGAAGAAGACAAAAGAATTAATGCCAAAAAACTCAACAAAGATTCCTTCAAATAGGCTAAGGCAAACGTGGTAGGAGTCAAAGACTTCAAGAAGGGAAAATACCCTAGTAATAGGTCAAAGTTGGGAACTAAATGTGGAATTTCCAAGAGGGAAAAGTTATATGGAAAGTGATATAACTATTTAAAAATGGGACACAAGTCTAATGAATGCATACAACCAAAGAAAATCAAAGCTCACGAGGCAAAGTGGAAGGAATTTCCAAGAATGTGGATTACTTGGATTTGTGTGTTCTAATGAAGTCAACATGGTTGATTCTAACCCAAAATAAAGATGGTTTGATACGAGAGCCACATATCATATTTATTGCAACGAGGATTTCTTTTCTGATTTGATATCCTACGACAATAAAGAGAAACTCTACATGGGTAATGCTACGATTTCCGAGAACAAGGGGAAGGGTAGTGTATAACACCATAATCCAGTCTAACCTAAAATCTAGAGGACTAGAATGTCACACAAAACCACCTAATTAGCTAATACTTTTATCTTTTTGCAAATGTTTAATACCTCTATACATTAAAAACATATTAAAATACCAAATATGAAACTTTCATAAAATATAAATTAATTTACAAAATGTGGGGATATCCTATGAGTATATATCAAAATACATAAATCCAAAAAGAGTTCACAACTCAAATAATTAACAAGGTTTTATTACGATACATGTCACTACAATATGCAAGATGCACTCTAATAGAAAATCGAGTATGAAACTCTTGAATCTAGTGACAAGCTCCTCAAATAGGACTTAAGAACCTGCACAAGAAAACACATTCCACACGCTGAGCTCACAAGCTCAGTGCCACACAAATCACCCTACTATACTATATGCATTCAACATATAAGCATGCGACTATTATGGTTATGAACATTGGAATACATTCATACAACAACAAAAGTAAGTATCACAGTGTAGCTTGGGGCCACATAGCATCACAGAAACCACACCATTATTTGCTTACTACAATACCCTTAGGCAAGATCTGGGTCACATAATATCAACATCTCCCTAATATCACATGCAAAGTCCAGGTCACTTAGCAGAGATACCTTGCCCAATTAGTCTAATCCTTTAAATTATTCAGGACATGTCTGGGTCACATAGTGTCGGCATAACATCCAACTAGAATTTAAAGTGCTCAAGCATTATATTGGATATATCCAGATAATCATTATTCTATCATACAATCATCATACCAAGTGACTCGGGTACCCTCGTCGTTTCCCGAGCATCATACAAAGACACTAAATTATGGAATCCTACTTCATTAAGATCTTATGTTATCAAGTAATTTATTAAGATTTTCACTTGTAAGCTTATTAAAATGTTTCCCTCATCAAACCCCCTGGTTTCATCTTTCTAACCTATACTAGCCTTATAGCCTAAGTATTCCCGATTGTACTAATACTCTTCCTTGGGTATTGGTACTCCCATCATATGGTATCGATACTTCTCCAAGTATCAGTACCAAAATTACATTTGATGCTTTGGAAAATACGTTAGTATCGATACTCCTTCTGAGAGTATTGATACCCTATCCTTAGTATTGATACTCTTACGAGTATCAATACCAAAATTGCATTCGATGTTTTGAAAAATACCTCAATATCAATACTCCTTCTTAGAGTATTAATACCTTACCCTAAGTATCGATACTCCTATGAGTACTTATACTAAAATTATATTTGATGGTTTAAAAAATACCTCGGTATCGATACCCTACTAGGAGTATCGATACTCTACCCTCGGTATAGATACTTTCACAAGTATCGATACTAGAATTGGCTACTAGAATCTAATTAAGTCATAGAGTATCGATACTAGGCCTCTAAGTATCGATACCACATTAGTAGTATCGATACTCCTTGAAGGGGTATCGATAATCTCCTCACAAACCATTTGAATTTTGCCTATTCATGACGAACATCATCAGTACTATTCAAATAATACTGATACCCTCAACCTAGAAAACTCTATTTCTCTCATCTAAAACCTTCCAAATCAGTTATAAGGTATCCCCAGAGTCCCCAAATAGTGTTTAAAGCTTATTTAGAGTTTAAGGGACATGGTAGGTCACTACTTTATGCATGAATAATATCAATACCCATTTTCATGCTATGAACCCCCAAATGCACCCAAATGACTCATACACTCATACTAGCATCAAACTTCACATGCTGATCTACAAGAACTAAGGAAGGGTTAGAAGTGTTTTACCTTACACCTAAAAGCTAAATAATCAACTCAAGGTTCACCCAAGCACCACTTTATCTTTTTCTTTGCCTTTGGAACCTTCAACCAATTCTCTCACTAGAATAAACAATGAATTGAGTTATTAACTCAACTACGAACTTAAAACTCCATCCAAAAATTTTTTTAAGGTTTAGGAATAATCTAGATTTACTTATAATCTCTAAACCCTAAACCCTCTATAAACCCAACTATAGAAAACTATAAGGTTGAGGGTTTAAAATAGAGGTTAGAATATGAAGATTTCAACCCTTGCCATAAGAATTTTGGACTAAGGATGAACACCAACAAAGTCTTCACCTTTGAATCAAAACACCAAGAAGAAAGACTGAGAGTAAGGCTAATCGATAGGCTATGGTTCTTACTCTTTCCAAAATATCATAAAGTCAAATTAAACGTAGAGTTAACTTCCATTTACACCCAAACCTATGCACTCTCTTCCAAGATGGAACCTTTAGGAAAACCTTGTCTCCCACTTCAAACTCTATGTCCTTTTGATTTAAGTTTACATATGATCTTTTTTGATCAAAAGCTTCCTTCAAACGACCCTAAATCAATCAAACTTTTTCCTCGACTTCTTTGATTAGGTCAGGACCAACTAACTTCCTTTCACTAAGCTTTGTCCAACACAAAGGCATCCTACATTTCCTCCTATACAAGGCTTCATAAGGAGTCATTTGAATGCTTGACTGGTAGATGTTGTTGTAGACAAACTCAACCAACGAAAGGTGATCTTCCCAACTACCCTTGAGGTCTATAATGTAACATCTAAGTATATATTCTAAAATCTTAATTACACCATCATATTGTCCATCAATCTGAGATGGAACGTGATACTAAAATGTAGTCGGGTACCTAAAGCCTCATGAAGTGCTTTCCAAAACCTCGATATGAGTTATATGTCTCAGTCAAAGATAATCGACGTTGGTACTCTATGCAATCTCAGTATCTCTTGAATGTACAATCTAACTAACCTCTTTAGAGTGAAATCCATGTGAACTGTTAGAAAATGAGCAGACTTGGTCAATCTTTCAACTACTACTCTTATTGCATCATGCTTCTTTCGCGTCATTAGTAACCCAGTCACAAAATCCATGGTCACTCTATCCTAATTCCATTACGAAATCTAGATAGGCTAAAGCAACCCTGATGGAACCTGATATTCCACTTTAACAACTCAGATATTTCTTTTTTATATATGACCACCAATACAACTGACAAAAGTCTTGATACATTTTATTTCCTCAAGGATGGACAGAAAATGAAATACAACGTGTCTCACTAGGAATCTTGATTTGAAACTCCTTGCTCGACGGAACACACAAATGTCATTGGAGATACAATACATCGTAATTCTTTAACTTAAGGTGCCTCACCACGACGAGGTTATTCAACCTTATCTAACAAACGATTATCAATCCTCTGAATTTCCCTCACCTCCTTAACCAACTCAGGTTCAACTTGGAACTCAGCTAACAATACACTATCGACGGTCAAACTCAGACACGCAAGCAAGGATCAAAGATCAGATACTATTTTTGACTCAAGGTGTCCACCACTACATTCATTTTACCCGAGTGATAATTGATCATATATTTAAAACCCTTAAGCAACTTCACCCAACGTCATTGCCTCAAATTTAACACTTTTTGTGTGAGCATATACTTCAAACTCTTGTAGATATAGAAATTTTCTCTGAAGAGATAGTGCCTCCAAATCTTCAAGGTAAAAACCACAAGTACTAGTTTCAAATCATGAGTGGGGTAGTTGTTTTTGTATGTTTTAAGCTTCCATGACACATACACAACAACGTAACCCTCTTGCAACAACACACAACCCAAACCATTCAATGAATCATCGCTAAACACCATAAAATCCTTACTAGACTCTGGTTGAGTCAACACTGGTCCCTGAGTCAAAATCTCCTTTAACCTATCGAAACTATGTTGACACTTATCATCCCGTACAAATGGTACTCCTTTTTACTGTAACCTAGTCATCGGAGTAGCAATAATAGAAAACCTTTTATGAAGTGGTGGTAGTTCTTGACAAGCCTTAGAAAACTATGTACCTCTTACACGTTCCGCGATGATTCTCACTCAATTACTTCTTGATATTTTGAGGATCAACTCGAATACCCTTGATAGACACCAATGACCAAAAAAATGATACCTCTTATAACCAGAACTCGTACTTACTGAAATTGGTGAATAATTGGCACTCCTTCAATGTTTAAAGTACAATACAGATGTGATAATCAATCTCCTCCTTTGAACGCGAGTATACAAAGATGACATCGATAAACACTTTGAATTGGTCTAGATACTGATGAAATATCCTATTCATCAAGTCCATGAACGTGCTTGGGGCATTGGTGAGACCGAAAGGCGTCATTAGAAACTCATAATGACCATATCGAGTCCTAAAAGTTATCTTTGCTATGTCGACTTCTTTAACCTTCAACTGGTAGTACCCTGACCTTAAGTCAATATTAGAGAACACTCTAGCTCCCTTAAGCTGGTCAAACAAGTCATCACTCCTCGAAAGCGGATATCGATTCTTCACGGTTAACTTGTTCAATTGACGATAGTTAATGCACAACCTCATTGACCCATATTTCTTCTTTACAAACAAAACTGGTACTCCCTACAATAAGATACTCAGTCATATGAATCCTCGCTCTAAAAGTTATTGAATTTTGGTCTTAAGTTCCTTTAACTTCGTCAGTTCCATACGGTAGGGAGTGATGAACACCGGAGTTGAACCTAACATAACCTCAAAGAAAAACTCTAGTTTTCTATTGGTGGTAATCCCAATAAATCTTCCAGAAATATATAAAAAAAGCCCCTCATTGTGTGAATCTCCTTCAGCTCTAGACTCAGAACAAAAGTCTCCACTACATTTTCTAATAATGACTCATAACATGTGCTTATCAACTTGTGGGCCTCTAAGGCAAAAAATATCCTCGGGTATAACTGAGCTCCTCCCTTGCCATCACGATCTTGGTTCCCTTTGACTTGCGAAGTTTGAGTTGCCTAGCTCTACACCTCAGATTCACATCATGATAAGATAACCAATCCATTCTTAGGATCACGTCAAACTTTCAAAACAATAGTTGCATTAAGTCAGCTGGAAATGTTTGCCCTTGAATTTCTATCGGGCACCGACGGTGGACCTCGTCCACTAATATATCTAATACTAGAGGACTTGAGACTCAAACCTTGACCCCTAACTCTTCGATTCAAATATCTCTTTCCTAAATAATATTTCAACAAATATATGAATAGGTTCTCAGATCCACTAAAGTGGTAACGAGAATAAAAAATTATAAAGATACCTAAGACGACATCAAGAGCATCACAGTTCTCCTGAGCTCTGACTACGTACTGAAAAGAGGCAACCCTAGCCTCAAGACCAACTACGAATCTGACAATATTTTTGCTATGTTATCCAGTGGTTGAATTATTTCCTCTCTAAAAGGATCATCGACCCCTCTTAACAGTTGGAGCTGACCTCTAAACAATCAATGACTCTACATTCTCTGCCTCAAGGTAGTCTTTGATGAGGTGCTCAAGGGATTCACACCCATTACACACTTTGGAAACTCTATGAAACTCCCTTGAGTGCCACCTGCCACAGTGCATGTATGTCGAGGGTTGCATGATCTTGGCTGAACCACTTATACTCACTATAGATACTGAAGCTAGAGGATTCTCTTATGACCATTCAAACCCTTCTTGTGGAATGGACCCTATCTCAACCTCTGGGATTATGAAAATGAAGGTATCCATTGTAACACCCCCAACCCGTACCCAACCCGGCTACGAGTCCGAGATGTCACATTGACTTTTCAAAACCTTTACTTGAACAAAATAGTGAATAATTTTAAAACTTTTACTAAATATATATGACTAATTTACATAAATTAGTAGCATATGGTTTTACAAAACCAATTCGAGTATATCGAATTCAAATTTTTATTTACATGCCAAATACATATATTTTCTGATCTGAACTTTGTAAAGGAGATATTGACATGTCTTGCTCCCCAATGCTCTCTATATTCTTCTCGAACCTACGTGTGAAACAATCACACGCTAAGTCGATGACTTAGTGAGGCAAATAAAACATATAATAGAAATCATAAAACATTCCATATAACAAACCACATGAACATTTAATACTAACTTATCATACAAAATCACACACCTTTTTATATAACAACTACACTCATGTACATATATCATATCTACTTTCTTAGCATTATCATATATATCATTATAACTATTTCTATCATTATCATCCAATTATTTATCACCTGATCTTGTACTTATCATTTATGTATATCATATGACACATATATCATTTCACCAAGAAACACCCATAAATCATAATTCCTATAACCAAAAGCACATACATTATATATATTGTATTCATGTTATCTCTTTGATTAGCCCATGGTACACTTGTGAGAACTATAGATATGTGAGTCTATAGAGGTTGTGCACTAATGCTGTCACCACAGCTCGTATAAATGCACCGAAGTGCACGTAGAAATGCACTGTAGTGCCACATAGAATTGCACCGAAGTGCCACGTAGAAATGCACCGTAGTGCCATATAATGTCCATAAGGACCACAAAAATTCTTTAAGAATCATATACATATACCAAGGACCAAGTATGTGTCTCAAAGACCTCATAAATGTTCCAAAGAATATACATATGTCCCGAAGAACCGCGTAGACCCTCGACTCTTGGCATGCCAACTATACCCCTAGCTCTCATGACACATAACATGGGCATTATCATTTATTTCATTTCAAATATTCACATAAACATGTAATTCACTTTCACATATCACGTATCACATAGCTTTTCACATAACTCATAGTCATATGTCTTATCTCATAACATATACATGTTTCCGCCTATATAATTCATATCATTTCTTATACCATCACATAATTCATTTAACATACATGCATATCATGTAACATTATAATAGAAATACCTATAAGTCATATCACTTAGATTTCATATACATCTAGTCACATAGATCACTTTTGCATAGCTTATATCCACATATATTATCTACATGTATACCCAAGAATCAAATGGCATATACCAAATCATATAAATATATATATAGTTTATGCAATCACATTACTTATACTCACATGGATCCATATCATAGAGCTTAGTTCCCTTGTACATGTTATCACACCGGCATATAATCTTATATCAATCCTATAGGTAAAAGCTATTTATCTTTATCTCATTTTCCCTTTGTATCAGCTTACATGATTTATTATTCTAACATGTACAATAACATATAACCCTTATCACTTATCTCACTTTATTTAATTATGAATTATTCTATCCATTTAATTTAGTTCTATATAGCTCCTATAACCTTCTCATCAGGTTTTATAGTTCTTCATTTTATAACTTTTATATCATAGTTTTCTTTTAAGCATGTCACTTTTTCCTATAGTGTTTATCCTATAGGTTCGTATCATCGTTATGCTCATGTCCCCTAATTTATATATATACCATTTTCATAAAGTCTCTTAATTTATTATCTTCTGATTTATATATTATTCTCTTAAATATTCTCATATTACTCTATAGTCTGGTCTTATTTAACTCATCACACATCTCATGTAGTCATAAATATATTATACTGATTCTCATAATTAATCACCTATACCCTGTAACATGTATGGTCATCCATCATATAACTTATTTCACTTCCCATGCAATCATATAGATCATTCATATTAGATCCTATAACTAATCACATTACATGTATTCACACAAATCATTTAACACCTACTGTAATTTATATCATATATACTCAAATCAAACATATACATATGATCATAAATTCATACATTCTAATATAGGAAATAGACTCGTCGCAAGTCTTATTTCCATTAAACATCATAAACTAACTTGTATACACTCACCTGGGCCTCATTTGCTTCGAATCAATCCTAATCCTTAGTTTGTTCCGGAACAAGCTTTCATTCTATATCTACATAATAATACATTTATACTTATCAGTATACTAATTGATATATTTGAAACTATCACTCCTTAGGCTAAGAGAAAAGCCAATTTCATCTTTTAATGAAGGTATGCATCGATGCACTGCACAGTGTATCGATGCATTCCCTAACGATGCATCGATGCACTACTTGTGCATTGGTGCATAAAATACATTCAATGTTTATTTATTTGAGAGTGCATCGATGCACATTGAATATGCATCGATGAACACAACCCAGAAATTCCATTTTAAGTACGAAATTATTCAACTCTTCATTCAATTCTTCTATTTTAAGCCTCTATCATGTCCTTAAACTCAACTACCATTACTTAAACCAACTTATATCCATATAAACCATATTTATTTTCCATATCTCATCATGATTCTTAAAATTAAGAATCTTACTAAATTTTCAACTTTGTTATAAATCCTTTCTAACTTCATAAATCTCTTTTTTTTTATAACAAGTCAAATTCCTTCTCAAAAATCTCTTATTAACTCTTTTCCAACATTTCCTTTAAAAACTCATTTTCTTTAATCTTTCATAACTTCTTCATCTTTTGATTTTAGGACAACCTAAGCTTTCCATAAGCTTAAATATTACATAAGGATCAAAACCCACTCTTAAAATTAACAAATAATCAGCTACAAGGAATCTTACCTTTACCTTGGAGCTTTCACGGGAGGAAGAAGAAGATGAAGAACAAAAAGAGAGAAGAGATTTCTGGAAAAATCTCTCATCCTTGTCCATATATATATCATTATTTTATTCATCTCTTGTTAAAATGACCCTTTTGCCCTTTAATACCTTTTATAATTACTAGCATCTTCAAGGTAATATTTTCAAATAAATCACTAAACTTTTCAACTATTCAACTTTAATCACCAAATTCTGAAATATTACAATTTGGTCACTAACCCGGTATTAAGGATGTTACATCCATGACCCTTGGGAATCTCTAGCCCTCTTAGTTGAAGTATGAGATGATCCAAATGTATCTAGGGATCTACGACTGTATCCCACAATGCCACTAAATAGACGGGCTCTCATACTCTAGACTCGCTCAATATCTTTTCCCTAACAGGTCAGCTCAGAGAATACTTTAGGCGAGTCGACTGTTAAGTTAATAAGAATGTCTAAGTGGAAGCCCTCCCTAAACCTCTTACAACGGTGCTCCTCAGTCACCACTAGCTCTCACGTATAACAGATCAAGCGTAATAACTCATTCTCATACTTATACATAGAGTGGTCACCTTGGATCAGATGCAGGAATTGGTCCCTCAGATCGTCTGTATTGGCCTCACCGATGTATTTTTTCTTGAACTTTGATAGAAATAGCTCTTAAGTTGGTTGCTCTAGCTCTAACGCCAACTCCATGTCTCCAACCATTCTATCACATCACTCTTTAACAGGGCGGTGGTGTACTCTAACTTACCCTCAAGGATTAGATGAAGCTGTCGTAAGGTATGAAGGGTCTCACGAAGCCACTAGTCGACAGATACAAAATCATCATCTCTCAAACCCAGGAAATCATTAGTTTTATAAAGACAGGGTGTCTCTTTCGAGGACTCTTGAGGGGTGACTAGAAGTGGGGTAGATGGAGCGGGTACAATGGGTGTCATAGGGATAGCCGTAACAATGTTCTTCAATATCTGCATGAGGTCCCTAAAGAATGTTACCTTGTCTATCCTTACTTATTTCAGGATACCCACATCCTCAGAGTCAGGAATGAACTGGTCCCTCTTGTCTCTAGCTAGAGAAGTACGACTCTTCTCAGGACCCTTCTCACTATAGGCAACATCGTCTTCTATATCCTACAAATTTCCAAGAAATGAGAAGAGACATCATTGCCATTTTCAATCATTTAAGTACCGATTGACAATCTAGAGGCATGAACATCATTGACACCTAACGACTCTAATCCATGGGTCCTAAGAAAAACTGAACCTAATGCTTTGATACCATTAAATGTAACACCCTAATCTGGTCTAACCAGAAATCCAGAGGACTAGAATCTCACATGGAACCACCTAAGTGGCTAACCCTTTTTTTCTTTTTGAAAACTTTTAATACCTCCATACATTCAAAACATACTAAATACCAAATATGAAACTTTCACAAAATATAAATTAATTTTACAAACTGTGTGGAGCTCCCATGAGTACAAATCAAAATATATAAATCCAAAAAGAGTTTACGACTCAAATAATTAACAAGAGTCTATGACGGTACATGCATACTACAATAATCAAGATATACTTTGATAGAAAATAAAGTATGGAAGTCCTGAATCTGGCACCTAAGAACCTACGCACATAAACACATTCCACACGCTGAGCTCACAAGTTCAGTGTAAAAAATATCCATACTATACTATATGCATTCAACATATAAGCATGCAAATAGTATGTTTATAAACATTGGAATACATTCATACAACAATAAAAGTAAGCATTAGGGTGTAACTCGGGGTCACATAGCATCACGGAAATCACACCCCTATTTTCCACTAGAATACCCTAATGCGAGATATGGGTCACATAGTATCAACATCTCCCCAATACCTCAGGCTAGGTCTAGGTCACTTAGTATCAGTACCTTGCCCGACTATTATATTCCTCTACAGTACTCGGGATGTGTCCAGGTTACATACCGTCAGTACAACATCCAACTAGCATTTAAAATGAATAAGCACTAGATTGGATATATTTGGATAATCCTTATTCCATCACACAATTGTCATACCAAGTAACTCGGGTGTCCTTGTCATTTCTCGAGTATCATACAAAGGCATAAGTCTTATAGAATCTTACATTATTAATATCTTATGTTATCATGCAATTTATTAAAGTTTTTACTTGTAAGCTTATTAAAATGTTTCTCTCATCAAACCCCTTGGATTCATCTTTTTAACCCACACTAGGCTTATAGCCTAAGTATTCACGATGGTACTGATACTCCTCATTGGATATTGGTACTCCCCTCATATGGTATCGATACATCACCTAGTATCAATACCAAAATTACATTTAATGTTTTGGAAAATACCTCAGTATCGATACTCCTTCTAAGAGTATCGATACCCTACCCTTAGTATTGATACTCTTGCGAGTATCGTACCAAAATTACATTTGATGTTTTGAAAAATAACTCTATATCGATACTCATTCTAGGGAGTATTTATATTGAGGGTTTAGAGTAGAGTATCGATACTCCCATGAATGTCGATACCAAAATTGGTTACTGGAATCTTATCAAGTCCACGTGTATAGATACTAGGCCTCTGAGTATCGATACCATATAAAAAGTATCAATACTCTTTGAAGATTTTGAAATTTTCACATTCACGACAAGTAGTATCGATACCGCCAACCCAGAAAACTATGTTTCTCTCGTCTAAAACCTTCCAAATCACTCTGAATGTGCCTTTAAAGTCCCCAAATAGTGTTTAAAGCTTATTTAGATTTTATGGGACATGAATGGTTATTACTTTATACATGAATAACATAAATACTAATTATATTATATGAACCCCAAAATGCACCCAAATGACTCATACACTCATACAAGTATCAAAACTTCACATGATGTTCTACAAGTATCAAGGAAGGGTTAGAAGTGTGTTACATTACACCTAGAAGCTGAAGAATTAAGTCAGGGCTCACCCAAGCACTATTTTTTCCTTTTTTTTTTCCTTTGGAACCTTCAACCACTTCTCTCACTAGAATAAACAATGGATTGAGTTATTAACTCAACTAGGAACTTTAAAAAGAATAAGAAAAAAATTTCAAAGGTTTAGAGATGGTCTAGAACCACTACAAGCTCTAAACCTTAAAACCCTCCATAAACCTAACTATGGCCAAACTCTAAGGTTGGGGGCTTCAAGTAGAGCTTAGAATATGGATATTTCAACCCCTGCTACAAGAATTTCAGTCTAAGGATAGACACCAACAAAGTATTCACCTTTGAATCGGAACACCAATAAGAAAGAACGAGAGTTTGATTGGGGAATGAGAAAAACGATGAGGAAAAAGAGATATGAGAGAGTCACATTTCTTTTGTTTTTCCATGATGTGACCTTACCCTCTCATAAAAGAAATCAACCTTTATAACATTTAAGGGGGAATTTATAGCTTTGGTCTTTCTTAGTTTAATCCAAATTAAAAATACTCTTTTTAATCCATAATGGGCTCAATCTAAGCCCAAGTCGCCCCCTAATTGAACAAAAGCTTCTTGTAGGCTTAATGGGTTTTTAACTTTTTCTTGGGTTAGCCCCAATCTACTAACTCAAGAATCGAGGTGTTACGTATTATGATCTTGAAGATGACTTATGGAAAAGAACTCAAGCTGTAGAATGTATTATATGTTCTTAACATACAAAAAAATCTTGTATCTGGGACACTCTTAAGTGTTCACGATTTTAGGATGGTGTTTGAAGTCCAAAAGTTGATTTTATCTAGGGGAACGTTTATAGGCAGAGGGTTTGTATCAAATGATATGTGAAAACTCAATGCAATCTCTATAAAAAGCCAAAAGCATGAACAAGAATATCATTTCTTTCGTTTATATGCTTGAGTCATTTAATTTATGGCATGGTAGGCTTAGACATGTTAATTATGATACCCAGCATAGGCTAATTAACTTGGAACACATCCCTTCATTTCACATCAATTATAATCATAAACGTGAAACTTGTGTTCAGTAAAAATTAATAATATCATCTTTTCAAACAATTGAAAAAAATACTAAACCGTTGGATCTAATACATAGCGACGCTTGTGACTTCAAATTTGTTTAAATGAGGGCAAATAATATATATTGTATTACCTTTTTTATGTTAGCACAAAGTACTAATATTTAATTAAGAGCAAAGATGAATTTGTAGAGAAATTTAAACTATATAAGCAGGAAGTTTAAACAAGCTTAAAAAAGGATTAATATCGTATGAAGTGATTGTGGTGGTGAATATGTTGAACCATTTGGTGAATTTTGTTCACAACATGGTATTGTTCACGAAGTAACACCACCATATTATCCTTAATCTAATGGAGTAGCCAAGCGAAAAAACCCTAACTTTAAAAGAAATGATGAATGCTTTGTTAGGAAGCTCTGGTTTATCACAGAAAAAGTAGGGGAAGTTGTTCTTTTAGTTAAATTACCTTTTAAATAAGGTACCCCGAAAGAAAAAGGACAAGACATCATATAAGTTATGGAAAGGCCAAAAACCTTAATACAAACATTTAAAAGGTGCGGGTGTCTTGCCAAGGTAATGGCACATTACCAAAGCAAATGAAAATAGGTCATAAAAATGTGGATTATATTTTCATTGGCTATGTAGAACATAGCAACACATATCGATTCCTTGTGTATGAATCAAATAACCCTGAGATTCATAAGAACATAATAATGGAATCAAAGAATGCATCATTGTTTGAAGATATATTCTTTTACAAAACCAGGAAGGTTGATCAAAGTTCAATACATTAGAGACTAACAATGAAGATAATCCAGATAATCAACAAAAAGCTAAAATAGAGCCAAGAAGGAGAAAACGAGGAAGAGTGGAAAGATCATTTGGATCAGATTTCCCTACTTTTATGTTGGAGGTTGAACCTTAAACATATAGGGATGATATACGATCTTTGAAAGGCACCTTATGGAAGGAAGCCAATAAAGGTGAAATCAAGTCCATCATGCAAAATCATACATGATAATTAATAGATCTTCCTTCGAGAATTAAGTCGTTAAGTTCAAAATAGATTTTCAAATGAAAAATGAAAGTAGATGGAACAATTGCTAAGTATAAGGCCATGTTAGTTATAAAAGGTTGTCGGAAAAAGGAAGACCTTGATTACTTTGATACATACTCTCATATATCAAGAATAACATTCATAAGAAAGATATTTACAATTGTTGCTTTGTGAAATCTAGAAGTACATCGATTAGATGTTAAAACTTCTTTTCTAAATGGAGATCTTGATGAAGAAATATACATGGAACAACCCAAGGGAGATATAGTTTTTGGTCAAGATAGGAAAGTATGTAGATTGGTGAAGTCTTTGTATGAACTTAAAAAAGAACCAAATTAATGACATGAGAAATTCGATAATGTCATGATGAAAAATGACTTCAAAATAAATGAGTGTGACAAATGTATATATGTCAAAACCACGAACATAGGATATGTGATTCTATACTTATATGTTGATGACGTACTTATTGTTGGACGTAACAATGAAATGGTAAAACGTACCAAAGATATATTAAATTCAATATTTGACATGAAAGACATGGGATTGGCCGGTACGATTTTGGGATTCCAAATTAAAACGTTATAACCCCTAGACCCGACCTAGAAGAAATTAGGTTGAATCTAGAGAGCTCAAATGAAATCATTTTCCCTCGAGTAAACCATGTGTGATTCAAAAATAAAAATAATTACATTATAATTAAAGAAACAATCCTTAAATTCAAACTTCATAATTATATTAAAACAAATGTCTGTGAAAAATCTGATAGAAATAATTATTATTTAGAAACATGCATAAGCAATTCCCAAAATTAAACATAATGTCTAAAGTCTCAAATTAAAAAATAATAATAATAATTCTGAAAATAAATAAAAAAGTCCATACTGAAAATAATAGTTCTTCGAAAAAATAATAATGAAACCCTCCAAGTATCGGTTCACCTAATGTTGAGTATCTTAGAGTAAAAACTATGAGAGTGTAAGCTATTAAGCTTAGTGTGTCTATAAAGTGAAAACAAACACAAGTCCTAACATGATTTGAATCAATAAATAATAATCATAGTCCAAATCAAACAGTGATAATCATAAATTTGAATATTATGCAAATGTTTATAGACCCGCTCGTACTCCTGTCACACAATCTGAAGAATGAGTTCCCCAGAGCCACATTATTGACAATCAAATCACACCATATGAAGTGGGGTATGCCACAAAGGCAGAGGCCATTGAATCCGAAAGTGATATTCACCTTGATGATTGAATGCATTAAACTTCCCCTATCAAAAATCGTCCCACTATGATAAGAAAATGACATACATATTTGATGTCC